GCACCACCAGCCTGGGGGGGTAGCCTCCCACTACATGGAGGCAGGTCGACGGCCAAAGGAAGGGGCGGGGGTACGTGCCAGTAAAAAACAAAACAAAAGACAAAATAAAACAGAATAAAGCAAAGACGAGGACACAAACAAACTCGCACAGAGACAGGGATATCCCTAGAGACAGTCTGAACGCGACAGCAAACGGGGGAGAGGGCAACAGAAAAATTAAGTCTGTGCGCCCTGGAAATGGACGCCGCTGTCAAAATTTGTCGGCTTTGATCGGCTTGGCAACGAAAAAAAATAGAAAGACCCTCCGCGTGACAGAATTTAGGCTCGAAAACAGAACAGAAAAAAACAAAAACAGGGTCAGGCGCAGGCCTAACGTGTAGGTTGGGTATAGGTTTTCGAGCTTTTGTGGAAAGATGTAAATGTTTTAGGCGGAATCGCCCGTGGAAGATCCGGCGTACCAAAACTCGAAATCCCTAACATCTCTTTGGGCTGTTGGACCTTCCTGGCCAATCACATGATTACGCCGCTTGTTCGATGTTCGATGATCGATGTTCGAGTCCAAAAAAATTACGTAGGACCCACCCTACTGCTGTGAGAAAACGACGGAACTACAACAACCAACAGCAGCAGAGCCTTCTGCCACCCACAAACCATGGCGAGCATGGGCTGCGTGAGCTCGTATGCTGCGACGACAGTCTCGCCGCCATCCGCTTGTGCTGCTGGTGCTGCTGTTGCTGCCCGTGGTGCAACGAGAAGCGTGCGGCCCTTTCGCAGAAAGCAACGGGGCTGGATTTTTCATATTGCTGGCATCACACACTATAAAGGTGAGACAGAGAGGGAGAAAAAAAAGCGGCAAATGCATGATGCTCGTGTGCGCGTGAGAGAGAGAGACGTAGCCTTATGTTGCGTGCGGAGGACTGCACTGAGCAGCGAGACGTTTTATCCGGCTGTGTCGTGGTCGCTGGTGGTGTTGGTGGCAGTTGCGGCGCCTGCCCCGCTCGTTTTTGCGGGCACAGTCACCGCGTTTCCATGGAGAAAAATAGCCGAGTCGCTTCGTCCGACAGACCCCTAGACGGGGGACGAAAAAAATGTGTACACGCCCGCCGGTGCATTTTTGCGGAGAGAGCGACACAACGAACAAAGACCTGATGCTACTGCTGCTGCTGCTGCTGACCACTTGCTCTGCCGCATGACCACCCTGCAGATTTAACGGAGGCGGACCTGTTGTTCGCCGTTCGCGAGAGGTACACCACTGTGAAGAGACTGGTCATGAAACGGCCAGCAGGGGCACCCAGAACTGATGCTGCTCTTTCAGGAGTAACATCACGACCACCACCGGCTGCACGTCAACAAGATTCATCTTCTAACTTCCCCATAGCTGATGCTGCTGCCGCTGCTGACGGCGGTGGCATGCTAGTGGAGATCCAGTTTGCGGGCCCTCAGCCCAGCGAAGGATGCGGCGCGCTCCTGTGCAATCTGCTCCGCGGGTCCTCAGTGGAAGCACGGGCGGTGGAGCTACCGCGCGGCCGCAAGAAAAAAATCGCGACGAGCGTCACACCAGAAAACGGCAACAACGACATTTTTGAAGGTGGGGTGCACACACACGAGAGAGAGCATGAGAACAAAGCAACTTAAATAAAGTTCATGTACCAACCAGTGTGCGTATGCTGCTGTGGCTGGTCTGTGCTCTATATGATGCATATATGTAGGTTTACGCGATTTCCATCGTCCATCCATGTTGTCCATCCCGGCCGGCAGGATTCCCCCCCCGCCACCAGCAGCAGTCAAGTCGTGCGTTGTGAGTGGGTTCATCGCGCAGTGTCATCCCCACCGACTGGGAATAAATATGGAAAAATGAAGGATACACCCTTGCGGGGTACGCACACACACAGGATCCTGCTCTTCTGTTGTTTGAATGATGCAAAAATACGATTGAATATGCCACCTTAAATACCACTGGTAGAAGAAAACATGTATACATGTAGGCTACAGATAGCGCCCGCACTTAAGAAGTTAGCAGTCAAGGAATTGAGACTCGCAAAAAATCAGAAGCTAAGAACTTGAGCACCATCTGTGAGCTCGGTTGAGAACCCCACACTCAAACCTATATAGCGGCCATTGGTAGCCCACAAGAGGATGATCAGCAAAATGAGAACCCCAGCCTCGGCCGAAATTAGAGGTTCTTAATTGCGGGCGCCATCTGTATGCATAGACTGAAACGAAAAAAAATGTGTGTTGTTGTTCTTCTTCCCATTAAACTCGTCTCAGTTGCTAATCCCAAAATCTAGCAAAGACTCGGTCCGTGGTCACAAAAATGCTAGAGCCATCAGAATATCTGAAGAACACAAACAGCAGTGTGTGTGTGTGTGTGTGTGTGTGCATTCCTCCAGCAGACAGAAATTCTCGTTTATTTGGTATGCGTAGTATCGAAGATAACCTGTACATACACAGCAGTCGTGGTCTGTACCCTATTTTGTTTTGTTTCTCCGCGGCATCGCATGTGCCGGGTTGTGAGACCACGGGCTTCCCGTTTTCTGTGACTATTTTTTTTTTGTAGTCTCGCATCATTGGACTCTAGAATCCTCCACTTCTACCAGCTAGACGACCCAACCGCGGTCACATAGGAGGGGGGGGTTGGACCCCCTCCTGCGGTTCCGGCCTTAGATATTTTTATCGCGAGAAGGAGGGTACAGCAATACCTTCCCTCGCGACTTACGAAGTCGATCAAGCTTACTAACAACGAGCTCTGCAGCGCGTCGCTTCCAACGGAGACCAGGATTAATTCAGCGAGAAAAAACTTACTCTGTCGGAACTCGAACCCATGACCTGGCCACGAGGCTACCCACTAGATCATGGGGGCGACCGGTCTGGACTACACATAGAGCTAATTAATGTGAGAAACAACAACAACACCAACATTACCAGTGAACCAACCGTGGTAGCGTAGTACAAAGTAGCAAGTAGGACACAGACAGCAAGGCTGTGTTTTATCTTTGATCTTTCGATCATGCGCTGCATGTACATGATTGCACAAGCCTAGTTGTTGTTGTTTTTCTTCACATTTAACTCGTGTCAGTTGCTAATCCCAAAATCTAGCGAAGACTCGGTCCGTGGTCACCAAAATGCTAGAGACATCAGAAGATCTAAAGAACACGCACAATACTAGCAAGGAAAGGGTACTCAAGCCCGAGGAGGTACACCTGCAATCCCTGCAGCACGTTTGCGCGCTCACAACGGAACTACACGCCCACACACTACGATTCGACTACAGCAGCAGCATCACCCCCCTTGTCCCGCATTTAACCAAAATGAATGTTTGTCGACTACAGCGTACTGCTGTCTGAAGTGCTGTCTCTACAATATTATATGAATAGTAACACCATGGTGCATGGTACACAAGCTTGGGGCATGAAGCTGCTGTCTGAAGTGCTGTCAGAATGAGTCCGTGGACATACAATGAAGAACACCCAACCAAAGCCATCGTTGCAATTGACAATCACCCGAATCTATCCAGATCATCTGTGTTAGGCACAGCAGTGTAAACACCGACACTGACTAGGAATCGTTCCACATTGAAGGGGTCTTCCACGATGCAGGTACACAATTAAGGCACCCGGGTTATCCGAGCCATCTCTGCCGCGTCTCTCTACAAAACCAGTGACCTCATTACACACACCCAACACCTTTACACTATTCAGGAAAAAACGGAAAATAATTGACAACGCAAGAAATGTTTGTCGGTGCGCCACGGTTCGATGCCGTCCGCATGCTCCGGTGTCACTGCTCCGGTGCCGCTGCTCCGGTGCCGCTGTGGCCAGTCCTAGCACGACCAAACTCGACCCGCTCCGCTTTGCACACGCTCTCGTTGCTGTCCTTCCCAGTCGGTTCCTCGCTTTCTCCCTCGTTGCACTTAGGGTTCTTGGTCTGAAAATTCTAGCGCCGAAGGGTCAACCAGCCCAATCAGCTCGTCACCACCTGTCCCCTCCCCCTTTGATGGCAAAACCAGGTTACCGAGACAGTACAGCTCCCTATAGCAAATCTAGGGCCGCGTACATAGCCTGCTAGGGGCCAGGTCATGGGTTCGAGTCCCGGCAGAGTTAGTTTTTTTTCTCACTAAATAAATCCGGGTCTAGCAGAGCGACGCGATGCAAAGCTCGTTGTTAGTAAACCATATTCGGCTTCGTAAGTCGCGAGGGAAGGTATTGCTGTACCCTTCTCGCGATAAAAATATCTCAGGCAGGAACCGCAGGAGGGGGTCCAGCCCCCCCCTCCTATGTGACCCCGGTTGGGTCGTCTAGCTAGAAGAAGTGGAGGATAGGGGCCAGAGGGGCAGATGACAGAGTCCAATGATGGGAGAGAAAAAAAATAGTAATAATATAAAATAGTGCACGTGCACCTTTCTGATTACGTCTGCCTCCGCGCACAAAGATGAGATGGGCATTGCTGCCTACACCGACGGCCTGGAGGCCCGCGCATCTGC